CCCCCCCCCCCAAAAAAAAAACCTAAAATAATGCATTTGTGACATCTGAACATGTTGGCAGAAGACAACATCAAGAGGCAACTTATCTTCTAGAAAGGAAGGACCTTGAGATTGGTAAAGAAATCCTTCAAAACACATTGAAGAAGGGATGCAGTATGTAGAGATGGAGCGTGTAGGATTGTCAATGTCATGGCCATGTCCTGAAGGCCTCTGTGTATTAATGTAATTGTTCCTGGAAGCAAATGAGATTGTTGCTGGGCTGGAATATGGTTCCTATGAGGCTTTTGTGATGTTTCCGTAGCAATTATCAGGAGAAAAAAAGGGGATTTGTATAGCAGGAGCTATCGTGATATACAAGAAGACCAGATCTGGGGGTTTGATACTTGATAAGAATATATAAATGTTAAAAAAGCAAATACTTAATATTTTTCCTTTTACCTTAATACACAGAGCCCATTTTTATTAGGGATGCACCGATACCACTTTTTTAAGACCGAGTACGAGTGCCGATACTTTTGATCAAGTACTCGCCGATACCAATTACCGATACCGATACTTTTTCTTAAAGGGGCAGGTCACATTTTTTCTAAAGCAATATAAACTAATGCTTTAAGGTCACTTTCTTAATATTATGATTCATGAGATGACGAGGGAGCATGACGCCGGCCTCCCGGCCAATCAGAATGCCGGGCGCTGCGTCATTACACGGCGCCCGGCTTCCGGATTTGCTAGCTTCCTGACCAATCGGTAAGCCAGGCAGCACGTCATTGCGCGCTACCCGGCTTCCTGATTGGCCGGGAAGTCGGCTCCGTGCTCTCTCATCACAAGTGACGAGAGAACATGGAGCCGTTTCCTGGCCAATCAGGAAACCGGGCAGCGTGTAATGATGCGCAGCCCGGCTTCCTGTACTCGTGTTAGGTATCGGAGCATTTGGGCGAGTACGAGTACTCACTCAAATACTCGGTATCGGCACCTATACTAGTATCGGTATCGGTGCATCCCTAATTTTTATGATTAAAGGGAATTTGGGAAGCCATATATATATATATATATATACACAATATACAATACATTTACTTTTCTTGAGGGGGGGGAGCCTAATGCATCTACTCATAACCATTTACAGACCGGGATCTGGAAATAATGTATATGTGACATTGAAAGAGGACACATCCAGGATCTGAAGAGAAAGGAGACAGTGTATGACTGACTATGGCCCTGAGCCAATCAAAAAACGTTGTGTCAGCAAGTTCCATGAAAAAGGGGTGCCACGAGAAACATCCGGTTCGGTTGATGATGTTCCAGTGTGCAAAACCCGGCATGCCTCAGATTTTCGAGGGGACAGAATATCCTGAATACCGAACACAAATGATCCTTAGGAGCTCTTTCAGCAACTGCGCAGTGACCGTCGTGCCGTAGACTTTTTCCCCACTTTCAATGCTGTATGAAAATATATAACACGAATTCAAAAAAATAAAAGCACGTAAGATAAATCTTTGCCGGTGGCGACCAGTGGAAGTGTCCTTGTTAGTTGGCCATGAAACTCAAAAAGTTCTTCTTTCTTGGGCAGCAAAATGCTTCAGGAGTTTTTTTTTTTTTTAGGTTTCGATTTTTTTTTCTCTTTTGGTTCTCATTGGTTTTCTTAGCCGTTAAAGCAGACAGGCCCGAGCTCGAAGCCAAACTTCTGGTTGCTGTCTCCGAAGTCGCTGACGGCGACATCCCTGAGGGGTAGATGTTCCACCTTGTAGGTGTTGATCTCCAGTACCGTTCGTTCTGCACCTTTACGGAGCTGCGGGAACGGAAAGGAAGAAAGAAATAAGTTACGGAGATTGCCCAGCAAGTCCGAATGGTTCGCTGATTATTATAACACCTTCATTCTAATATTCTCAGGTTTTTGGGATCTACTGGGTGGTGGTGCAGGGCTACTGAAACTCCTGATGCGGCTCACCCAGAAGGCTTGGCTGGACTGTGAAGGTCTTTCTTCCTTTGGATATGTTGTTCTGATCTGGCAGTTGGGGGTCATTTGGCATGCATTACAATTGTTCACCAAGAGCCCCATTTCAAAACCCAAATATACACTGAGTGGCTGGAGTATTACACACCGAGTGAGCGGGTTATTATATACACCGAGTGGCCGGATTATTATATTTGGGGGGGGGGGGGGGGGTCATAATAATCTGGCCGCTCAGTGTATAAGCACCTAAAAAGCCAGTGAACAGTCAAGAAGACAATGCTCAGAATGTTTAGCTTGCCATCGTATTTCTAAGCAAATTGGCTATCTGGCTCCTGGGAATTGTCCAGCTTGGGTCTCGGATGGTCTCAGGTTAGTCTGTGTTGGGCTTTGTCAAAGAGCCATCAGTTTGAGATACTCTTGAGATCATTCATAATTCGTTGACAGCGGCATATGACCTGCAGTTGACCCCAGGAGCGTACCGAGGCTGGGTGTCACCCGGAGCAGTTACTGGGTGACACCCCGCCGTGATGTCATCGTGCATGCTCGTGATGTCATCACGCATGCGCGGCGATCTTATTGATGCCTGCCGTTGGCCATCTTGGTGATGGACTCCGGCACAGAGAGGAGGGGACAGTCACCCGGCGGGATAAGGTACGCCGCCGGGTCCCCTCCTCTCTCCCGGAACTGTCGGGCTCTCGGTCCATGACCGAGTGCCTGACTTTTCAGAGGGGGGTGACACCAAAATGACTGTCAATCATTTTAGTGTCACCCCTCCAATGGTGTCACCCAGGGGCGGGCTGCCCCCCCTGCACCCACCTTGTGACGCCACTGAGTTGACCCCCTTCTGATTTGCATTTGACCTGCCTCAAGCAGGTTTTGCACCAGCATAGATTTGTATGGGAATGCAAAACCCGTTTGAAGCCAATAGCCATCAAAACAGGACGTCACCCTTCAAGTAGGCTACTATCATGACTGAATATGGGACGTTGTATTACTAGGACTGTCAATGGCTACAACTATTCCTGGGAATGTTCTCAGGTTTGATGGCCTAGCCTTCTGAAAGATCCAATCTTCTGATTGTCTACAAGTCCAGTTGTCCATGTTGTAATGCTAAGATTGCCTAGATTTTAGTGTAGCAAGGTCAATGTTCCCGGCCGGCTATACAAAAGGATTAACACTCGCTGATAATGGCAGGACTAAAACCCGGCCCATCAATAAAACAATTGGGCTTTCCGATACCAACCATAAGTATCATTGAAGGCCTTTGTAAAACAATCCTACACCTCCACTTACTTAAACATTTCCATGACCCCCAGATACTTACTTGGCACCCGTCATATAACGCCTGTATTTGTGGTGTGCGGCTGTGGCTGAGCACCTCCTCGTTGTCCGCCCTCAGCTTTACCGACTGCTCGTGATTTCCCTTCGACATGTCGTACCACGCCACAGACTGCTGGCAGTTATAAGTCAGGTTCTGCCGGCCTACTGCGCTTAGGAGCTTGAGGAATGTCATTTGAACCACATGGACGGGGTTGCCATCGGCGTCAATGTACTGGAACTGGGTGGAAGACAAAAGAAGAATTGTTTGAATCCAAAAAAACTAAAAATGAAACCACAAAACACAAGAGATGTCTGCGCCAGGGACCCCATATGGGGCCTCAGTTTGTGCAAACTAGGTTGACTGTGAGGGCCAGGAGCTGGTGCCACCGTACATTGGGAGGAGAAACCCTTTACCTTTAGCCCACAGTATTTTGTGCTGGAGCATTGGGGGGAGGGGAGGTAAAGGAAATACCTAGTACTTCCATGTATGCAGGAGCATGTGACTCCCTCCAATGATATCATATAGGGGCCAGGAAAGGGTCTTCAGACCTGTATAAGCTCGGTCTAGAATGCCTCAGGGTTT